CACCCAGCGGACGTTTTGTAAATCAACCCTTTAAATTATGTGAAGTAACAGGTCATGATTTAACGTGCAGACATATTAATAGATCGATATTTTCAGGGCAGATAAATAATTCAGGAGTACGTCAGTCCAATCTAACTAACAGACAAAAAGTTTTCTTTAGCTCTTGGCGCTAATGGCTGCCAGCTGAACAATCCACTTGCTGTTGCACACTCAAAGTTTTCAACAGTTTATCACAGTTTTTTACACAGACTTGAGGGGCTGCTCATCCAAGGCTCTGGGGCTTCCACTACGAATATAGAAAACAAAAGCGAACAGAGCGCCACCTCCGTGTGTAAAATCGTTTATTACAATAAATAAAACAAGGGATAAAAGTACTCACAAACAAACGTTTTCATCAGGCTTTAACAACAAATGAGAGGCCACACTGTCTGTTAACCCAACATGGTATATCCCCAACCATGTAACACGGTAGTCTCCGGTCACATCACCGTCCACAGACCGCAGTCAGCCAAGATTGACGCGTTTCAGGGGCAAGCCCCCTTCCTCAGAACAGCAGACAGTGTGGCCTCTCATTTGTTGTTAAAGCCTGATGAAAACGTTTGTTTGTGAGTACTTTTATCCCTTGTTTTATTTATTGTAATAAACGATTTTACACACGGAGGTGGCGCTCTGTTCCCTTTTGCAATCTAACTAACAGCCTGCTGAAAAATGTTACATGAGGCAAGGCATGCATGACTGTTTAAAGGACATTGTACTTTGCATTGTTATCCTTTAAATGAGTCTTATACTTAACTAGCCAGAAGACTTTTGCAGTGGCTACTGTGGAGGAGCAAGTACGGTTTTGTATAAGACTTGGTAAGGGTGCTAGGGGCCATTTAAAAGATTACTGTACTAAAAATAACAGAAAAACACACAAATAACGGTAATCCTGATTAAAACAATTCTCTTTTCACGTGCTATTTGAATTGACTGCACACAAAAGTTGTTGTTTTTTAAATGTCTGCTGTTACATTGCACAGCCTAGGTTCCTATTCAGCACTGGAGGTTTCCATTGCTTGCTTTCTGGGTAGTACTAGTTCTGGAGCAAGTTCATTACTGTGCATGATGTTGTAACAATTGTTACTTCAAGGACATATGAAAATGAAAAGGTAAACATTAAATGTATTTTAAAATACTGCTAGCATAACTGTTTGCATAACCTGTCAAGTATTACACTTGCGTGTGACGCGCTTATGCAATACGCACAGGTGTGAACCAGGCCTAAGAGTTGATGCACTGTAAGACAAACTGTATTTCCAGGCACTGAAGACTGGAGAAAGAGACATTTAGGTATCTTGTAAGTGAAGTGGAAGATAGGGAGGACAGTACATTACTCTCCTTGCTATACAGGGTGGAAGGAGTGTGTAATTTACAAGACTTGCTGTAAAAAAACATAAATCTTTTTGCAGGTAAAACCACTCACATATATGTATTTCAACTGTACATGTAGCCGTTAGCCTGAAATTCCACTTTAGCCAACAGCTACCTTGTTGCTAGCAGTGCTCATATCTTCCGTACTGCTTATGAAAGAATTAACAGTTTATGTTTGGATTCATTTTCCACATAGATACACATCAATGTGTTAGTTTTTTGCCTCAGTCCCAATGGCCTGTCACATCTCAAGACTGCAAAACAATAAAAATGTTCCATGTTTAGACAGTGGATGGAGCAACCATACCACAAGGGAAGTTTTGACTGATCATCTTGGTTACAGAGATCTTATAGAAGAAAACAACTAGAAAGCAAAATGTAATATTGTAATTCTTCTGTACTTAGGGTGCCTGCCACGGCACTTAAGAATGCTTCGCAAACTGAAGTGTTTGGCTGGGTACAAAATTCCACTTCAATAGAGAGCCATAGGGAAGTGTGTCTGCCAATATTTCAGGGGAAAACAAAGCAATCAGGACAACTTTTTTTTTTAAATTGTCCAATAGAATGTTTCCCCCACTTCTGGTGGAGATGATAGATTTTTTAAAACAGTTTACAACCTCTCCCATCCCACCTCCAACTGTAGCATATGTTTCTCATGGTTAAACAAATGATATGTGGGATAAAGCATGACAAAATGGAAAATAATGCTGCAAAAGCATACATAATGTATATGGTCTTCAATGAACTTTTACTTTGATCCCCTACAATCGGGAACTTTGGCAGGGGTGTAAAATAACCAGATACATTTTTGATTAGCCAGGCAATGATGTTGGGTGGCCTTTATGTGTATCGTCAGGCTAAGAGTCACCTAGAAACTGTAAAATAAGTATATGCACAGCATGATACGCAAGCCTCAATATACATGAATGAGGATGAGGTTGGCTTTCATATGTTACTCTTCTTTGTGCCTACGTTTAACACTTCATCAATATAAAGACCTCTTCATAAACATAACCAAAGCCTAATATTATACCATAGGGTGTGACACAATATACCACTAGACAGACAGGTCAATTCTTCACCACTAGCAATGACATTAGAGCTACACTGCAGCCCACTGCATTTTTGGGTATGGGGTGGATATGGATGATTCCTCACTACCTCACAGTGTAGCAATGGTACCTGAGCAACCTTATGCCACAATTGACTTGTGGACAAGATCCCTAATTAAATAGCAACGTTCAGGGCAACATTCACATAGGAACTTATGGTGCCCCATCAGCACTCCAGTGAGCTGTGGTGATGCCTGCTATGCTCCGTCAGCTTTATGCTTGCTATATACTTATCTATTTAATTATGTTTGAGGGTTCCCTGCCCACTTTTATGTTCAAAACAAAGGGGGTGGGGGATACCCTCACAGAGGTTTTCAGCTCCTGCCCTCAGCCCCTTGTCTGTAAACACAGTTTGGCTGCTCACCAGCCCAGTCCCTTTTACTCTTGGCTCACTTTTTTGTGGACTAATTTTAGCAGAGTTTAGCTGGACACTTTTCCTGCCTAGACAGTCTCTCCTTGAGTCGATATATGCCTCTTTTAAAGAGAAAGACCACTCGTCTGTCACACAGTCAAAACAAACAAATCAATAGCAGCACAAAAATAGGATTTTTGTACTCACTGTAGAATCCTTTTCTCTTGTGTTCATTAGGGGACACTGGGGGAGTTCTTGAATCTCTGGGTTAAAGTGTTACCTTCAGAAGGACAAAAAAAAAAAAGACCGCCTAGGGGATGCCCCTGACGGTGGCCAAACCCCGCATCTGCTGACAAAAACAGTGGAGAGGGTACTATGTCCTTCAATGAACGCAGAGAAAAGGATTTTGCAGTGAGTACAAAAATCATTTTCTATTAATTGAAGCACACAACAGAGATCTTGGATCTCTGACCAGTGGGATGTCCCAAAGCAGTGTCTGCCAAGAGGTGGGAAAACAAAACAACTCATCTAAAGGCAGGAACAGTACAATTCCACCTGTAAGACATGCAAGCTGAATTGGATATGGATATACTGTATTAGAGGACCCATGACTGATTAACGTTCAAGGGCCAGATCCACCTCGATAAATGGCTCTAAGGGCCTGGAGGAAGCTCGGAGAGAGAGACTTTGTAATAGAAGCAGTGGCTGCGAGGTAGACCCACAAAGCACAAACTAATTTAGACAGTGAAGATTACATTCTCTTCTGAGGCACTGGAGCTGGACCGAGAGATGAGGGAACTATGTACTTGTTGAGGTAGAAGCCAAAACCACATTAGGAAGGAAGAAGGCTCTGAGTCCAAACACCACTTGATCACTGTGTAGGACCAGAGAGGGTTCTTTACAGGACAAGGCTGCCAGCTAAAAACAAGCCTCACAGAGGTAATGGTAACCAGGGATGTGACCCAGTAAGCAAAGGTGGAAAGGGAAAAATCCCTAATAGGGTCAAAAGAAGTGGAGACACCAAGATAACCACACTCAAATCCAAAGAAGTCACAGGAGATCATATAGGAGGAACCATATAGGTCAAACCCTATCCAAAAAACGCCCTATCATAAGATCACAAGCGCTGGGATATATCTCTGGCAGTATTTAGGTGCAAATGTTGATATAGAGCTGACTGTAAGCAGGTCAGGATTCTTCCCACGGGATAAAAAACTTTCCTCGCAACAGGTGAAGTATTCCAACTATGTGTGATATAGGGACCTTGCGGAAAGTGGACTTTCTAATGTTCACAGCACAGAAAGAGAGACGTCTGTTTCTTAGGGCCTGGCATCCAACAGCCAAGTCAGCGACCATGAAACAGGATGGTAAATCGGTCTATAGGACTGATTTAGAATGTCTGGGAGTGCCCACAAAAGTATCTACTAGTCGTCTAGAGTTGAAGAACCACAGTCGCCTCGGCCAATCTGGAACTATGAAGATCACTGGAACACCTCCACCCCAATCTTTTGTGGAGAAGATGAGCAAGGAGTTGCAGGGGGAGGAAAGGCGTAGATCAGGCTGTAATGACACACAAAGAAACCAGAGTTTCCGGTAGCTGGAGACAAATATATCCACTGTGTTTGTGGAATTTAGAAACCAGAAGGTCAACATTCTGCATCCCCCAACTACGTCACAGGTCCTGGAACATTGCCAGGTATAGGGCCCAGTCCCCTGAAACAAGGCACTAAAGGAAGTCTAATTGCTAACTGCCTACCTTTTGGATGTAAATGGCAGGCAAGGCTGTAATGTGAAGTTCTACCCAAGACAGTATCCTTTCTACTATTTTGCCATGGCAAGACTACTGGTTCCTCCCTGAAGGTTGAACTATGCTCCTGCGTGACAACGCGAGACAACCATATTGCTTGTTCCTCTCAAAAGTTGAGTGGGAGATTGTATTTCTCGACGAGCAAGTCCCTTACACTGACAAGGTGTCTCGGACCCCTCCTCAGACTTGCAGGCTGCCCGTATCCATCAGGATCTTCAGAGAGATTAGAAGGAAAGATTATCCCAACTGCAGTGCTGGAGTCCTGAGCCAACAGATCAGAGAAAACCTGCCCCTCAGGAAAGTCGGCTCAACTAAAGATCAAATCATCCCAGAATGACAGAATAGTGAGTGTAGGGGCTGGAGTGGAGCTGAGCAATGTAACTGCCCTGAAGGAGGATACTGTCAGGTCCAGGAATCTCATGCAGAAATACAGAGTCAAATGGCTCCTGGGTCAGTCCCAATTTGGAAGTGGAGAGTTTGAAATGTATCTTTGGGGGAAAAAAACACTCTGCCTGAGCAGTATCTAGGGCAAGCTCCAGATACTTCATGCAATATTCCAACCTTTTCAAAGCCCACACTGTGTGCACCACAATGAGCCGACTGATCCCTCAAAAGGAAATTGTTCAGATATGCCACATGGGATGCAGCCAGGCTATCACATTCAGATCTGCTTGCAAGTTGGAGACATCCTGTAAGGATTGTATTCCACTACAAAACTTGGTGTCATCTGCAAACACAGAAATAGTACGTTTAATCCCGAAATCTATATAATTTATATAAAGATTAAACAGTAAGGGGCCCAACACTGAACCTTGGGGGACCCTACTAACCACTTCAGACCATTCAGAGTATGAATCATTGATCACCACTCTCCGAATAAGGTATTTAAGCCAGTTTTCTATCCAATTACAGATTGAACACTCAATATCTCCTGACCTTAAATGCTTTTGCAAAATCCAAGTATACTACATCCACAGCCATTCCTCTGTCCAATCTATTAGTCACTTCCTCATAAAAAGAAAGTAGGTTTGTTTGACAACTTCTGTCTTTTGTGAATCCGTGCTGAATTATTGCTTATAATATTATTTTCAAGCAAAAACAAGTGCATGTGATCATTCATCAAACTTTCAAGTACCTTCCCAACTATTGAAGCTAAGCTTACAGGTCTGTAAATACTTGGTAAAGACTTTGATCTCTTTTTATATATGGGCACCACATTGACCTTGCGCCAATCCATCGGTACCAAGCCAGTCGTTAGAGAGTCTCTAAAAATTCGATACAATGGCTTTGAAATGATACAGCTCAATTCTTTGAGGACACGTGGGTGTAACTCATCCAGTCTAGTCGCTTTGTTCACCTTAATTTTGTCTAACTGTTTCTGGACCATATCAACAGTCAGCCATTGTGGTTCATTAGAGGCTATGGCACTGCCATCCCCATTATGGACTTGTTACGTCTTGTTCCTTGGTGTGCACAGAGCTGAAGAAAGTATTAAATAGATTTGCCTTCTCTTTATTCCCAGTTACCAACTCTGAGTTATCTTTTCAGGGGCCTACATGCTCAGACCTGATTTCTTTTTTTTTTTACTAATATATTTAAAGAATGTTTTGGGGTTAATCTTGCACTCTTTTGCCTATCCTAGATAGTTGTCACTACAACAAATGTCCGCACTGGAACACTTTTCCCTATATTACCGTTCCAATGACCACTAAAAATTTAGGATTCTTCCTCTTTTTCTCCCCCAGTGTCTGCCCCCGCCACAACGCAGTTGAAAATGCATATCTTTTATGAAGAATGCAAAAGTCTCAGTGGAAATCATCCAAATGCTGGTAGGAACAGAGCCAGGAACTATGAAGAGGATAACTCACTCTGGGAGTCCCTACATACATAATATATATTATATAAGAAGCCACATGGTGGCTTAGCCCACTAGACTCTACTTAGAACACAAGGAAAAAGTAAATAGACAGCGTCACTTACCTTATCTCCCTTTTTAATAGTTCGGACTTGCAATTTGCTGATGGCTTTTTTTGCAGCATCCCCAAGCCGCCTCTAAAAGACATACAAAATGTAAAATAAGGGACACACAAGTTGCATATCACCCTTATTTGTATTCCTTATTTAGTCTGTAATGTATTAGTTTTCTTTTGTAGGAAATATCAGACATTCACTAGACTGAGGCCAGCCTGAGGTTTAGGTGCTCTGGAATATTTATCTTCCTCATAGATCTCTATGAGTTACTAACTCATCGTAAGAGCATGATGTGTTCAATTATAACTCACATATAGCAAATCTTAAGTGGACAGATGGCTAAAAGCTATTGGTACCTACCCTGCTGCTAGCAGAGATTCTACTGAAATTTTGGGTTTTTCATTCCCACCTTCTGTCATGGAAAACAAGGAATACGCATTGCAGGATAAGAATTTCTATTTGCTTATTTAAAAAACTACAACTAAAATTAAAGAAGGGTGGTGTCAACAGCATTCATCATTGTGCCCGTTTACACACGTTAGCCTCCCTGAAATCCAATGGTTGTCATAAGAAAAATTGCCACTTTCTTGGTTCCTGTCAATCCACCAATTCTCCACACTTGTGCAGGCTTCCCAGCAGTATCAGTGGTTTGAAATTAAAGCTTGCCTTGTTATCACAATAAAAAGAAGACAATGCCTGTAAAATATCCAATTTCAGTTTTATATCACTGCATATCAGAGTTGGCCTGAAGTCCAAATAATGCTAGACAGTATTAGCATTAATGTAGAGCTGACTCCCGGGCCACAGTTCCTGGCATTTCTTCACCCTTATCAAGGTACAAGGACTTAGGCTAGCAGATTTAGCAGTCTTCAATTTTGGGTAGGGAGATGTCAATGAAAGGTCAGGAATAACCACCATGATTTCTATATGTCACTCTGTCACCACAAGAGAGTGACTTACTTGGGTAGGCAAAGCCTGAGTATTTTAAACAATAGGCACTACAAAACATACTGCCCCTTGGACTCTTAATAAATAATTTAAATCCCAAAAAGGACCCTTTTATGTAACCATGAAAAACCTTACATTTATCCAAGTGGACAATTGATCATGCCTGAAATGTTATTTTTTTTTTTTTTAATATTCACAGTGTCCACAAAGGCAGCTTATGTCAGTGTTTCAGGTTGTCCTCACTACCAATTAAATCTTGTGGAATGTGTGTGAACCTAGGGCGGTGAAGGAGACACATTGCTGTTAACACACACTTACTGTACAAAGGTGATATGGTTATATCATTTATACTAACAAAGTCTTTTTTTTGTGTGCAAATTCTGATCAGTTGAGCAGAAAACCAACAAGAATAAAAATGCTTTGTTTTACTTTATGGCATCAGGGCAATTCAATCTGGTATATGATATAAGACAAAACAGTGATATAATTAGTCAAACAAGTCCAACAAACTGGCTGCAGTGAGTTCCACCAAATTTTAAGATGTGTACACAATGTTAGATATATAAATAACGGATTGTCTAACCATATTATTAAAAAAAAATGAAACAGGTTCCACACAACAAGATTTTGACCAGGAACGTCAGTCATTACCTAAGAAAATGCCAATGATTACCAAGAAGCTTACAGATGCTCAACAATACCTGGATCATAGGTTCAAAATCAGGTCACAACAGCTGTGCAGATATACAACCAAATGCAGATACAACTGCCTTTTTAACATCCAGTTACAGGTGGAGTTGACTGAAACAATGCAATCCCAAAAAGCAAGCGTCTAAATTTGCATTTGAAATACACTTACCATACAGGTGACCATAGCCTGTAATAGACAACATATCAGGATGTATAGGTATACATAGCATTTTATTGCATGATACTTTATATAAAATCAAAGGGGTTTTCACTCCAAAACAGTAACCTCCCTCTAGCCACACAAAATTTAATTTAAGGATGGCTACATTCTCTTTGTCTCCATGCATAGAAAACAAATCACAAGTTTTAAAAAAAAGTAATAAAGGAACGTTGGGTACGTCTTTCATTTTGTTTCTCTTCAGCACAGGAAAAATTAGGTCCACAGCAGGTCCAATTACAATGAACTCTGGCTTAACTAAAGACTACAAAGTGTTCCACAAAGAAACAAGTGTGGCCAGCCCATTATATAAAAAGACCTCTAAATAATGACAAACAGCAGGCACCTTCCTCATCTGCAGACATATTTCTAAAACCGCCAACACTTCAAGGTGCTAAAAGACAAGACTGGGAACATTGTGTTCAGATGCTGGATTTCTCCAGCGGTGACAGGAAGTAATCAAAACAGTCTTATTAATAGTCCTCAGCATGCATACTCTTTAAAAAAAGAGGCTAAAGTGTGTCAAAACTCAATGGCATATCCCCAAGAACAATGAACACTCAAAACAGTACGAGACAAAGGTGGTGGACCTGGTAGCAGTTGTGATCCAGTAAGTCTCAGCAGTCAGGTAGTTCTTGTTGTGTAGCATTTGCAAGGTACACCTTTTATTATCAGGGCTGATTCCTGTTCCTTCACTTATTTTAACTGCACATATTTGGGTATTCAAAGTGAACAGAAATTTGCTTTTCACAAGATTGACTTGCTCAATTCACACAATTTAAGTAAAGGTTCTCAACTCCACTAGTGAAATTGGCCTCACTGTCAGCAAACAAATACATTAAAGGGTATCTTTAGCAAAAATAAAAAATAAAAATTCAGTTTTGGATAGATTATCAAATGTTTAAAACGCCTGTCATTATTTCCTATTGGGAGATTTCCCTTCATAGTATTTGAGGTTGAATAAAGACATTTGTCCATCAAGTCCAACCTATTGTGTGTGTGTGTGTGTGTAAAGATCCCCGAGTCATCTCGTTTTTAGGAGTACTTGTACCCCTGTATATTACCGTTTCTCAGGAAATCGTCCAAAAGCCTCTTGAATGATTCCAGACTATTAGCTGAAATCACTGCTTGCGGCAGTGAGTTCCAGACCATCACAACAGGTATATCAGGTATATCACTTCCTATCACAACAGGTATGAGTGTAAATCTCTTCAAGGTGAGGGGAAATCCCACCCAAAAAACAGTTATCATTGGAGCAGGTATCCCCCTTAGAAGATTTCCTCTCACATTCTGATCTGGTACTATAATGAACAATTTCTGTCCTGCTAAAGCACAAATAAAGAGCCCGTGCACATTTCTCTGGCCACTGCGGTGTGTTAACACAAGTGCATTTTGTCTCTCCTTAATATATGTTAAATAGACCTTTACCCCCTTTTATTAAAAAATCACATCAGCATGCAGCTCTGTATGCTGATTTAAAATCATCTTACATTTATTAGTTAAACAAACTTGTTTTTCATTCACTTACAAATGGAGTTTATTTAATTCCTGATCCTCTTTTGGCACAAATTATTTAAGTGCCAAAGTGTTGCATCTTGGGAAGGTTACATCTGCAGAACATTGCTGGCAAATCTCATCTGTAATCTCATGAGATCTCAGGGAAAGGCATTTCCCTCCCCTTAGATGATGTGCATGGTCACATGTCCTAATCACATGTGCCAGAGTTCAAGGAAATAAATGGAGAGCTAGTAATCTGCCCTTAGTTAACATGGCCACTGCCAGAAGACTGGGAAAGAAAAGAGAAATAAGGTATGCAAAGAATACAAAGCCGGCAATTATCTAGAAGTATGTGTTTGTAGATTGTCATTACACAATCTTTCTAAAGGCGTGTTTGTTGTTATTTTAAAGATAAGGGTAAAGGTCCACTTTAAGGCAACCCAACCATTACGAATATGTTGCCAACACATGGCCTGAAAATCATCCCCAATATTGCCAGGATCCACCCAGGCTGCTTAAGTGACTCTAGAGTCAGAGCCAGCAATGCCTGCCAGCTCCCTGTCTCTCCAATGAGTGCTGGATGAACAGAGAGGGAGGGAGGAATCCCAGCTGGAAACAGTGACTGACTGTGATCAGCTGTTACATGACATCTCAGCTCTAGGTATAGAACCAGCGTGTGACAGCTGCAGTGTTCCACACCATCTCTAAGTGAGAGCAATGTTTACTCTCCCTGCACCTCTGCTTTAAATAAAATAGGACATGTAGCATTTTGTTGCATTTACACATTACTTTGTCATTGATATGAAGAGTAAATGCAAAAATCTGTGTGTACAATGGAAATCTAATTTCTCCCTCACTTTACATAATGTATAGATAAAAAAAGCGTGTTTGGAAAACTGGAAAATTGCATGGTGTACATGTAATGAAAAGTGCATGGTGATAGCATAATCACACGTGTGTAAAGGTCATTAAAAAGTGTTGAAATTACACTCACATTCATACCTGTGTTATTGTATCTACTACTTGAATAGCTCTCAGCTTAGAATGATCATGTCAATAGAAAAAATAAAATCAAAGCATCCTATTAAAAAAAAAAATGAATACATATCTGTCCAGCCACATATTACTTCAATACTAAAACGGACCATACACCTATAGATTTTTGATTGGAAATGTTCATTGCTGCCAAGAACCCTCGTTCGATTCTAGCTCAAATACCCCATCATGCACAGACCAATGTCGATTTCGACAATCGTTCATTAGCAATACTAGCTAATGCAGAATACTAGCACTGAATTTCGTCGATCGACAGAATGCATTTTCGTTTGCGCGTGTGCAGTACTCTTGCTGTGATTTTTTTCGTATGAAAACACCACTAATCCATCAATTTTCGCACGATTCGTGGTTTTCCAGACTGACTGATTAAGGAAATTCGGCAAGGAGTACAGTAATTCAAATCGTTGGGTGTCCCATCAACTGATTGATTATGGTTCGAAAGACCATTCCAGGACGATTTCTGAACGATAATCGCAGAGTGTATTGGCACCTTTACATCAGAGTGTGTTGGATGCCTGCTTCATCTGCTGCATGCAGGGATATATTGGTGATGTAGAGAATGGCAGTCTGGATTAAGGTGCACAGCAGGAGACACAGGTATCTAGGTGCTTCATCTCTTCAATGCTCAAAAATAGTATTGGTAGTTTTATTCAACATAGTGTTAAACTTTACT